TGTGTGTGTGTGTGTGTGTGTGTGTGTGTGTGTGTGTGTGTTTGGCTCACAGACATTCCTGGTGTGAATCCGAGAGTCTACAGGAAACCGTGTGTTTTTACAGCCCACATCTGGGAGCTATTACTCCCCCCCCGCTCTGGGAGTCTGCCCTCTCCGCAGGCACAGAGCTGAGACCCCCCCACACACACCACAACCTCCTCTTCTGCACTTAAACAAAACCCACTAATCCAGACACCCCCCTCCCTCTCCCCCGGGGTTCCCGCTGGATCTCTGCCCCCCCGTCCCCGCCAGCGCCCCCCTCCTTCAGTGAGGGACAGCGGGGAGGACTCTCGACCGTTGAAAACTTTTTCCCAACTTTTACACAAACGCCTTCCCAGTCCCAGCGCCACCTCCCGCACTCCCGGGAGACCCGCGGGTCTGGATCTCCATTCTGGCTGCAGCTGGCACTCGAGACAGGGAAGGTAATGAGAGTAATTAGGGTAGATTTTGATCTTTTAGAGTAATGCTGTACTGTTACCAGTCCCGCGAATTCTGCCCGCCATACTGGCTGCAATAAAGCGAAGCAGCACCATCGCCAAACATTACTGTACTTTCCTTCTTAGAAGGGCTTCTACTGAACTGGTTCTGTGTTCGCTTTCCAACTGTACTCCAAACTCGAATCGTAATTGTGTAATCCTTCTGTCTCCTCTCATTACGTCATTTTTAAGTTTTTTTTCTTGCTGTCAAGCGCTTTGAGGAGCCGCTTGTAAAGGCACTATAGAAATAGTTTATACCTTCTTCCCAGCTGCAACACATCAAACATCAAATCGAGACAAATCGCGCTTCTCCAGAGAGGAGGACAGAGTTTAAGACTCCCACACAGCAGGGTCACGTCTTCACCCTGCCTGAACCGCCCACCAGCCGCCGGACCGGACCGGACCGCGACCCACTGTGACCCGATCAGCCCGGCTCGCTCTGTTCCCGAGTCTGTTCCCCGCGCACGCAGCTGCCCCGGACCGCCGGTCTCTTACCGCTCTGCAGCTCGGTCTGTCCGGCGACTCTGCGGTCCCTCCGCCCCGAGTCTGAGACGCCGAGTCCGAGCGCCACACCGCCCCGCCTCCCCCGCCCCCTCCTCGCTCTCCCGGGTCCCACCGCCTGTACCCCAGCCCCCACCCCTTCGAGCAGCCACAATGCACCAGTCTGCAGACTTTTGAAGAGTTTAATGAACAAAAATAATTCTGCGTACATTAACATTGTGCAGAGTCGCATAGTCGTTTTAATGATATGATACAGAATCACTCTGTTTTAAGCATATTATTGCACTTGGACGGAATAACAGTCGTGGCTTGAGCGGTATTAAGTATTGTTAATACCCCAGTCCTGCACTGAAATATCGGTAGTACAGTAAGTAAGAATACCCAGCAGTAGTGGTAACACCCTGTTTTGTCAATCCTAATAGATCAGGGAGGAATATCTGTGGTCCCTCTCTCAGCCTGAACTGCCTCTCACACAAACACATGCGGTCGACCTGCTCTTCAAAAATAGACCATTTTTAATTTCTGTACAGACTGTAAGATCTCACCCCACACCAGACCGGGCCTGGGCACAGAGAGCACCTTCAGAGGAGCAGGAGAGAGGAGTTGAGCTCAAGTCACAGGAGAGAGGAGCCAGAGAGAGGAGCAGAGCTCAGGTCACAGGAGAGAGGAGCAGAGCTCAGGTCACAGGAGAGAGGAGCTTAAAAGAGGAGCAGAGCTCAGGTCACAGTAGAGAGGAGCCAGAGAGAGGAGCATAGCTCAGGTCACAGGAGAGAGGAGCAGAGCTGAGGTTACGGGAGAGAGGAGCTTAAAAGAGGAGCAGAGCTCAGGTCACGGAAGAGAGGAGCAGAGCTGAGGTCACAGGAGAGAGGAGCAGAGCTGAGGTTACGGGAGAAAGGAGCTTAAAAGAGGAGCAGAGCTCAGGTCACGGAAGAGAGGAGCCAGAGAGAGGAGCAGAGCTGAGGTCACAGGAGAGAGGAGCAGAGCTGAGGTTACGGGAGAGAGGAGCTGAAGAGAGGAGTTGAGCTCAGGTTACAGGAGAGAGGAGCATAGCTCAGGTCACAGGAGAGAGGAGCCAGAGAGAGGAGCATAGCTCAGGTCACAGGAGAGAGGAGCCAGAGAGAGGAGCAGAGGTCAGGTGACAGGAGAGAGGAGCAGAGCTCAGGTCACAGGAGAGAGGAGCAGAGCTCAGGGGTGTTGTGAAGGCTCTCAGGGAGTTGTGTGATCTGTGTGAGTAGGTGTCCCTGACACTCCTGTGCCAGTTCTCCCCCGAGCAGCCCTGAGCCCCGAGGCTGGGCGACTCTGGGGGTGGTCCAGTCTGGGGGAGCCCCGCACCCACAGGGGCTCCAGCTGAGCTCACATTAACACCTGCATGACTGAACCCTTCCTCTCCTGCTCCAGGGATGCTTGTTTTTACAGGGTGAAAATAACGACCAAGTTCAAGTCAATCCCGTTACTGGCTCAGCTCAGTGTCCAGGCTGGCGTGGGGTCCCCAGGGGTCCCCAGGGATCCCCAGGACTGGAGCTGGGGACTCTTGGCTGGTGCCTGTGTGCAGGACCTGACTGTGTTCTTCAGTGTCGTACCGTGAAACTGCCTCAGTGTCCTTCTGTCCCTCTGTCTGACCATCCAGCCTCTCAGCACTGACAGGAAATCACTGGCCAGCAGTGTGTCGGGGTGTCAGTGTGTTAGTACAGCTGCAGTGTGTTGGGGTGTCAGTGTGTCGGGGTGACAGTGTGTTGGGGTGTCAGTGTGTCAGGGTGTTGGGGTGTCAGGGTGTTAGTGCAGCTGCAGGGTGTCAGTGTCTCAGGGTATGGGGGTGTCAGTGTCTCGAGGTGTCAGTGTGTCAGGGTGTTGGGGTGTCAGTGTC